GTAAAAAATGGCTCAATTATTTTTAGTTCAAAAAATATATCAAAGTGGATATCATTTTGAAGAGCACAATTAATATGATCTAACTGTGCAAAAAAATCAAATTTCAACTTAAAACAAGTGAGAAATCGTACGTTAAAGATTAATGGGGAAAAAATGGGTTAATTGCATGGTTGGTCACTGAGATTATAAAAAACGTTCAAGTTTGGTCACTCGAAATATTTAATTCCATTGGTGGTACTTCAGTTTACTCAAACCGTTCACGTTTGGTCACTCTCCGTCCAACTCCGTTAACTTTAGCTGATGTGGCAGTCAACTCTCAAAATTGATCGTTACCTTAGTGAGGTGGCAACTAAAAAATTATTAAAAATAAAAAAATTATATTTTCCACCTCATTATTACATTCATTAAAAAATAAAAATAAAAAACATAATTTCTTTTCTACATTCATCCGTTTCTTCACCTGGAAATGTCGAAGTTGAACACCACATCCTCGTCGTGGATCGCCCAATTCAAACCGGGCGACCGGGTCGAGATCAGCTCCGACGAACCCGGCTTCCGCGGCTCCTGTTTCGCCGGCACTGTCATCCGCCGCGAGCCGAAGAACCCTAATAGCTACGTAGTCGAGTACACCGGCTCTACGAGGACGAATCTGGGGAGAAGCTGCAGCGAGAAACCCTCTATTGGATCCAATTGCGTCCGTCGCCGCCTCCCGAGAAGAAGAAGGTTCAGTTCAAGTTCGGCGACGAAGTGGAGGCCTTCCACAGCGACGGCTGATGGGAAGGGGCTATTACTGCTGAGCACTCCGACAGGAAATTCGCGATGTTCTTCAGAGGCTCGAAAGAGCAGATTGTGTTCTTCAGTGCTCCCTGCCACCGCTAATCCCAGGTTGCTCTTCTTCACTTCCCCTTCTCCGCCATCTCTCTCTCTCTCTAGAACCCTCTACCGCATCATTCCATACTCTTCGATCGATTTTCCCTTTTCTAAACTCGTTGGGAAAAAGACCCCCCCTCTCCCCCCCCCCCCCCCCCCGATGAATGTTTTTCGGGCTGCCGGCGATGCCGGCAACGCAGGATGAGCTTGAGCTGAGCTTTTCTGTCATGTTGAGCGAATATGATTGTAACGGTATTCGTCGTAGAAGAAGGAGAGGGCAATGGTAGATCCATTCGTTCTGGTTCGGGTTCGATCCAAGACTTGGTTCCACAAGCGAAAAAAATAGATTTGATATTTTTTAGGCTAATCAAATTAGTAATTTTTCTTTCGTATTGTTGTTCTTCGTGATCTCAATATAGCTTTTTTTTTAGGGATTTTTGTATTAGACTGTTTGCTGAGTTGTTGTTGTTTCTCCTTCGTGCCTCTGTTTGTGGTTCCTCGATTCCTGTACAGCTTTTTCCCTCGGATTTACTGAGAGGGATTCTGTGAATACTAGTGCTCTTTTTGGTAGTAGAGGCTCTCTCTCTCTCTCTCTCTCTGTTTAGTTACATTGAAAAACTACGATTGGGAAACTGGGGAAGATGAGTTTAGGAGCGGCAGAGGAAGGATCAGAGAAGGAGATACACATCCCAGCTGAAATCAACTGGGAAATGCTCGACAAATCCAAGTTCTTCTTCCAAGGTGCCGCAATTCTGAAAATATAAAAGTTTATTTTTTAATGTAATAATGAGGTGGAAAATATAAAAATTTATTTTTTATTTTTAATTATTTTTTAGTTGCCACGTCACTAATTTAACGGTCAACTTTGAGAGGTGACTGCCACATCAGCTAAAGTTAACGGAGTTGAACGAAGAGTGACCAAATTTGAACGGTTGAGTAAACTGAAGTACCACCAATGGATTTAAATATTTCGAGTGACCAAACTTGAACGTTTTTTATAATCTCAGTGACCAACCATGCAATTACCCCGGAAATTAATTAAAGGCTTTCCAATAGAGAGAATGGGCACTAATGTAGCGAATTGTAATTGGATTATGCATGGTTATGCACCACAAGGTTATGCATTGGATCCGTTCCTGTTATTGACCACAAGGTTTAATTATGCACGTGAACTGCTCCTCCATTATAAGCATTCTTCCTGCCAACAATGACAAAGCACAGGAGAGAAGTGTTACAAATATGTGTCAAGAACCAGTTGATCCCAATAACTCGAGTTGTTGGGAGATGATCAATCGTGGGTCATATACCGTTTCCTAACACCCCCCCCCCTTCAAACTCAAGCAAGGTTGTCAACCCGCGGGTTTACCCGGACCCGGTCGAGCTAGTGGGTCAAGGGTTAATGGGTCACCCGTTTTAGCCCGTTTCAGCCCGGAAATATGAAAAGAGTTATTATATTGTATTTATCCTGATAAATTATATCAAATCTCATCTAACATACGAGTAATAACATGTAACATTACACCAAAGTAACATGTCGTACTTAGATCCAACATATAGTGAAAATTCACACACACTTATATAACATCAATATTCAAATGTTCAACTAAAGATTCCAAAGATTGAGTTAGGCGAAAAGAAAAATCGGAAAATAGGCGCATTTCGCAAACCAAAGAAAAAAATGACACAATTTGACCTCGAACCCGATACCTTTAGCGGTCGACCCGACGGGTGCGTGCGGCTCATTTTTCTCATCGGGTCAGGGTCAAAGTGGGTCAATCCGCGGGTTAACAACCTTGAACTCAAGTCATTCATATAGACTTGGAGTTTGGACTTGCACAGGTCCGGACACCGTGTGCTTACTAGAACCAGGTGAGGGTCGCCAGGATTCGAACAGAAGACCTCTCGATCATAGAGGCTCTGACACTATGTCATAACCCAGTTGGTCCCAATAACTCGAGTTATTGAGAGAGGTTCAATTGTGGATGATATATCACAACACTAACACGCCACCTCAAACGAAAGCCACTTACAAGGGCTTGAAGTTTGCAGAGGTCTGAAGACAAGAATATCATGTGCTTAACAAATGGCGGACCCAGGGGTATTTAGGGGTGTCCCGAGACACCCCTACATTTTGGAAGATCGATTATCCAACCCCCGGTGGTAATTTACATCATTTTTTTTAAGAATTATAAATTTTTTTTATTAATTTATTATGAGCTAATACCACTAGGAAACCCGAACTATTAACTTTGTGTCATTTGTGTCCTAAAGTATTCGATATGACAATTGTGTCCCAAACTATTTTTCAGTTATGGTTGACTGGCGTTGACCGTTAGTTTTAAACATAAAGTCTAATCAGCGCTGATGTGGCATCTAACGTGGAAATTAAAAGAAAAAATAACAAAAAATGGAGATTAAAAGAAAAAATAAAAAAATGGAAATTCATTCACTTTCTCAAATTGGCTTTTCCGTCTCCCTGTACTCCTCTCCTCGATTCGTCTCCAAGCTCCACTTCCATGGCGGATCCAACGAAGCTAAGGGATGCAATGATTCCGACACTTCTCGTTCACTTTCCTCTTCCGCCTCTACATCATTCTCATCGCAGTGGTCGGCGATTGATTGTTGTCATCGTTCTCAATATCTCTCGCTGCTCCAGATCTGCTCCAAACCTCTCAATCTCTTCGTCATCATTGTTGGTTCTCGCCGAGCAACAGGGGATTGCGACGGAAGTCGCTTGTGGTTGGTGACAGAGGGGAAGGTGCCCGCCGGCTCCAAATCTACGCTCCCAGGTTTGTATTGTAGTGGGAGAGTCGGAATTGACACTGGGATTCAAATCAAATTGAAGGGTCGGGAGATTGTTGATTTCGTCTGCGAGAGTTCATTGAATTAGACTAGGGATTGAATTTGAGTTGTGAAATTTTGGCCTCGATTGACTTGAATTGAAAGTTTGATTTACCTATTTTGTTCTTCGACTCCGAGCGGCGTCGGCGGCGATGAAGAAGTTCCGAACAACAACAATGACATGCCTTCTTCCTCTACGACGTCGTCGTCTTTAATGGTTGTGCCCAAACCGAGGGAGGGACTGAATGACTCTGGTCCTCCCCATTTCGTGAAGAAGACTCACGTCGATTGGAGCTGGGAGCTCTGTCGGAGAAGAAGAAGTCGACGAGAAGGAAGGGATTCACGTCGATTGGAGCTGGAGCTCTGTTGGAGAAGAAGAAGTCGACGAGAAGCAAGGGATTCACGTCGATCGTCGATTGGAGCTGGAGCTCTGCCAGAGAAGAAGAAGTCGACTAGAAGGAAGGGATTCACGTCGATTGGAGCTGGAGCTCTGCCGGAGCAAATTTTCTATTTTAAGTTTTCTTTGTATTTTGTATTTTAATTGTTAATTTTAATTTAAAAATAACAACCTGATGTGGCAGCTGACGTGGCGCATACATAGCTGCCACATATGTGCCATATAACCAATAGTCAACATTTTATGGTTGACTGTTTGGTCAACCGTTATCTATAACGATCAACAAAATTGTTAGGACGTAAATGACACAAAGGTATCAAACGTTGGGACACAATTGTCATATCGAATACTTTAGGACACAAATGACACAAAGTTAATAGTTCGGGTTTCCCAGTGGTATTAGCCCATTTATTAATTATTTTATTTTATTCTTTGAAAGAGGATACCCCTATATAAAATTTCCTGGGTCCACCACTGGTCACCGGGAATCCAACACAAGACCTCTCGGTCACAGAAGGCTCTAATATCATGTCAAGAACCAATTGATCCCAATAATTCGAGTTATTGGGAGAGGATCAATCATGAATCATATACAGTTTTCTAACAATACGGTCGGCTAAAAAATCCGGTGACCAATATCAAACTGCTTTCCTAATTATAGATTTGAGTTTTGTACCAAACCTGCAAACCTGCTCCCAGCACAAGCATATAACCTTTTCCCCCCTGAATAAAGCTTACAGGAAACAAAATTGGAAATTTGCTTTTTCCCCCCGGAGATCATCTAGCTTTTAACTATCCAACATAGCCGTGTTAGATAGGAATCATAGATTTAGGATTAATCGTATTTCATAGATCCAGAGAGGCAACCAATATGCTCATTTGATGTATAAATACAAAAGTCCAGAATTTATATTTCACCAACATCTCGAACAACATTAGGAGAACCAGCTACCACCAACATAACATGTCTTCTTAACAACAAAAAACGACAATAGTAATGATAATTATAGTACTAATGACAATCGATCTCTTTCTGTAGGTAGCAGCTGCAACTTTTAAGCATGATATTGTTTTTCAATACATCAGTACAGCCTGAAAGTCTTCCATTTGCAGAGCTCGAAGTTCTTCTGCTTCTGCTGGACGAACCCATCAGCTTCCGAGTCAAAACTCTCATCAACGTCCACCTCGTACTCCACAATCGCACGACCAGCGAGATCCGTCAACTGGACCCGCTTCTTGGGCCTGGGCTTGGCTTGCTGCAGCTTCTCCCGACTTTGGAAGTAGACTCTGTGGTCGTGGTTGAAGGCCTTGTGGACGTTTGGGTACTGAGGGGCGCCATGAATAACGCTGGGAGCCTTTATGATGTTGGAGATATGGTCGTGGTATTCATGGGAGCTTCTATCCATTTCTCTGTGTTTTCTATATATGTTTGGTTTGTTTTTGTTCGGTTTATAGCAATTTGAGTATGGCGAAGAAACGGCATATTTATAGAGCCAAAAAGATGAGATTATTTATTCTGTGGAGATGAGGTTGGCATCTAATTCTTCGTGTTTCTGTCTATATGATGCATCATATCAACCGCGCAAATCCGATGCCCAAATAAAGGCGACCCACATATAGGGATGGCAAAATAACCCGATTCACGGATATCCAATCCGACTCAACTCGGTCAAAGTGGATAAAACTAGTTCTGGTAGATTGCGGGCCGAGGTTGGGTTCGAGTTTAAACTCATTACACTGTTTAGTAAGTTGGGTTTGAGTTTAGATATACCCGATACATGGATACCCGCCCCGCACTCATAATTATCATTTCTCACAACATGACACCCCTTTAACCCTAATGTCTAAATTCCTAAACATTTTCTCCTCCTTCAACTTAGACTCGGCGGTCGCGCAAAATTCATTTTCCTCCTACTTCTTAGCTCTCTCTCACTCGCTCCGCCGATTGCTTATCTGGGTCGCCGTCCACCAAAGAGTCCCCATCCCTCCCAGTTCATTCCTCCTCCTTAGCTCTCTCTTACAATCATATAGTTAATTATGCATTTGGTTATTAAGGACGAACCATGTCCTTCATTTATTTGAGAGGGCTTTGAGGCTCAGTGAGTTAAGGGAAGGTTTATTGTATCATGTTAAATTTTTTAGGAATGCTCTATATCTTGGTATATATCAATTCCAATTGCATATTTAGAATATTGAATACTACTTAAAAAATCAATGTCAATCACAAACCAAAAAAATTAACTCAGTAATCGAAAATACCGAATAATGATAAATTTTGTATTGTATTTGACGGATCCCAAACAGTTAAACCAAACTTCAACCCCTAACTTGGAACAATAGTTTAGATATGGCAATCATTGGGTGTTGGTCACTCACTTTCTAGGTAATGATTAATTACTAATCAACTTAAATTGCTACTATTAAATAGGGATAAAACTAATATGCATGTGGACATGGTTACATGGAATAACTAAGTATTTTCATCCCTTAATGAGATTTAATATGCCCAGTAACTTTCGATTACCCCTAACCAACCACTGTCCAAATAAAAAAAAACAATACTAATGAATTAAAGTAGCTAAATTAGCCTGGTCACTATTCACACGACCTCACGCAAGAACTTCATGTTATACTTCATTAGTAGGCTCTGTTCTGGCCAAATCAATTATAGTATGTTCGTTATCCAAGTTTAAAGGTCATTACATATAGAAATTTACACACACAATGACTTACCACCTAACTGTATGTTAAGTATCTTTTTCAAGAAAAAAAACTATGTGTTAAGTATCATTTGATTTGGTTCAATCGAGATTAGATGACCATCATTACTTGATTTCGTTATTATAGATTTTGTAATGTGTGTCCAAAAATTTGAAAAAAAATTATTCAATATAATACTATATTCGTATCCCAAAAGTTAACGATTATTGAAAAGCTTATTTCATGTTCTAATATCACCAACATTCATTTAAATTAAAGTATTTTTTTAATTCTAATTGACATATACGTTTTAAATAAACCGCAGCAAAGCGCGGCCAATTATCTAGTTTTACTAACCGTAACAGGACGATACCAAATATCGTCACCATGGTTGTCAAACCGGTTTCATGCCGGCCGGTTCAACCGGGTTCAACCGTTACCGGTCAGCAAACCGGCTGGAAAGGGGCCGGTATTTAACTGTGGTCAAATCCGGTCAGATCCGGTCAAATCCGGAAATTCCGGCCGGTTAGACCAGAAATCGGAATTTAATTTTACACACATTATATCAAAAAATAAACATCTTTCATAAGATTTGAACCAAGGACCTCTTGTTCATTTTAGTTTAAATTATACACCAGTAGGCTACAAGCAATTTTGTTGTCTATATTAACCTTATATGTTATATATCTAATACTAAATTTTACACAAATCATTATAAACATTAATAAAATTTATTTAATAAAATTTTATTTTTAAGCATCTAATTGTTTAGTATTAGTTACCAATTCTTAGCTATAAATTATTTTGTGTGAAATAATTCTTCTAATTGCTTTTTTATGACTAATTTATTTGGAATTGAGGATTTCCATTTTCCTCATGTATTTTATTAAAACCGGCACAACCGGCATGAATACTTGTTGTACCACGGTCAGACCATTCCACTTACAAAACCGGCACACCGGCATAAACCGGTTTGACAACCTTGATCGTCACTCAGCTGGCCTCGTCACGTCACGTGGAACTTCCAACCGCTTCCTGCCAAAACTGCTGACCTCTGCCCACGCCACCCCTCATCGACTCCGAACCATTTCCTGCTACCTGACGTGTGCGCGTAACGCGCCGCCCCAATCGCCAGCCTTACTAGAAAATTGCAAAAAAGAAATATCTACCACATGCTTCATTATTGTCAAAAAAAAAAAAAAAAATACCACATGCTTCACCAAACGTCCAAAACGCTTTTGAGCATTTGATTCGGTGCTCCGCAGGTCTACCGCCCTCTTCCTGCACCCAACTCTGCTATCTTATTGCCTTCCCCTTCTCATTTTGACAGAATCAATCATAATATGATATAATATCCATCTAGCGTTGACTTGAGCAACAATTAGTGCGGTCACAAATTCCTGTCTGCCGTCAAGCTAATGACTACATATATAATAACGATAAAGAGAACGTACGTACGTTAAAACAGTTCCAGCCCGCAGCTCTACTACTTGCTTACTATATATTCCTTGTGAGTAATCACTATACTAATTAGGGGCAATATGTATATCTCCTTCTCCCAGTTAGCCTCTACTGCTGCTATTCAATTCCAAGCACAATCACACCACAGCTCTAGCTAATGCTTGCGGAGGTTGAGCAGCAAATCGCTCGAGCAACGATACACCTTGTTCTCTCCCTCTGCCACAGTATGTGCAATCTCTTTCGCCGCTTCAATCTGCCTCAGTGTGATAAATGAAGGGTTCGACTCCATAGCTGTACCAATCAACTCAGCACTCTTGGCCTCCCCCTCCGCTCTGATGATGACACTCTTCTTATCCTGTTCAGCCTTCTCGACCACGAACTTGACCCTCTCCACCTCTTGTGCAGCCACCTGCTTAGCCTCCACCGCAGTGGTGAATTCCGTCCCGAAGCTCACGTGGATTAGGGACACATCATCCAGAGTTATCTTAAACATCATCGCTCTCTTTTTCAGCACATCCCATATCTCTTCACTCACCTTCTGCGGGATGGACAACACCAGACAGACCACATGTACATGTATACTATTAGTTAACAGGAGACCACATGTAAATGATGCGGTGACCCTGGAGTGTAGGGCAAAAGCAAAGCAGCTCACGAAAATGCAAGAAACCAAGTGCTTACATTTCTCTGAGTAACGAGTTCACTGACATTGTAGCGAGCTATAACAGTCTTGATAGCTTCTTGCACAACTGATGGCATCACCCTTTCATCATAGTCATGTCCAACAGTTCGGTAAATCTCTGGCAAGTTTGGGGCTATGGGACGACTCAGAATGCGGATGACAACCTTCACCTGCGCAAGGAAAGATAAAGGCAGACTCTTCTCAGTACCCTGCGCTTTTTCACAAGCAATTTAACTGTAAGCAAAATTTAAGAAAGCTCCTTAAAAAAATTTACAAAAGATTCCACAACTGGTTCGGAAAGGCAGCACTCAGTAGAAGAAGTAAAGGTAGCTCCAGAGATCCTTACTAATGCTTGCCACAACCAAGTACTGAAGAAATGCATCATCTGCTATGTACATAATGCAAACTTTGCACCACAGACATAAGATGTAGATAACCAATTTCCACGTAATTATCTGAGCTACTAACAGAAGAAATACAAATACAAGAAGCCAAACAGCTTATCCAATCTGAGATTATACAGAACAAACTCATGAAAAACCATGAAAAGGAAGCATAGATAGCTAGTAGATTATAGAAAGGTCTACCATCATCTTAAACATGGATCACTATAACACTCTCTACGTATTCATATGTCCGGAAAGCATTAGCAGGAGAGAAAGAGAATAACAAAAAGCGACGCTAAACTAGTTACCGTTTGCAAGTCACGGGTTCCTGATATGCTCTCTATAAGATGAGGTTGAGCACGGATTTCATAATGGATTGGTTTCTCCAAAAATGGCCAGCGGATGTGCATTCCCTCCCCATAAACCTGTGCATTGATATATAAAGATTTAAAAAAGAAGACTTGGAAAGAGTGACAAAGTTTTAAACGGGAATGGCTAAAGAGACATAGAAAAATGATGCACGATCTGCAGAGTCATCCTTTTCAGCCTGAATTCTACGACCCTCTACCCCCTCTGTATATATATCTCAGTAACCATTTTATCAGACTCTGCAACTCAGTTTTAGCATAAATGTGCTTTTGAAGTATAAGATTTGAAGGCAGCACACATTTCTTGTCCAAGAGAAGCACTGATGGCATAAAGAGAGACACAATTACAAGACTCACGAATGACAGTTGAAGGCAGCACATTAGTTGACCTAATAACAAAAAACTCACAGAACTTTGAGATATTCTAGGAGGACATTTTCTACAGTTCTTCTTATCTAACTAGGCAACAACACTTCCACCAAAAAAAACTGGGCAACAACACTTCCACCAAAAAAAACTGGGCAACAACACTTCCACCAAAAAAGAACTGGGCAACAAAACTAAATCAAGTTTAAGCGAAAGTGTGCATTACAAGACTGCACTGATTATGTATACCGATTCTCTTTGCAGACTGAATCGATTTCAGCCGTGGCATGATTCTGGATTTGTATGTCATAAAGTAAAGCACGGAAGTGGGATTGAAAGAACAAGAACTCGAAACACATCTAAACTACACAAGTTTGCATATCGAAAGAATATGTTTAGAATGATGAATCACATATAAGGAGACAAAATGCAAAAACCCAGTATTCAGAACCTTATCCTTAACACCAGACAGACGATTGAACAAAATGGCACGATGCCCTCCCTGGACACTGTAGAAAGTGTTGGACCAGACATACACCCCAATGCCACCATAAACCACGAGCTTAAGCTTTCTGAGATCGGGTTGACCATTCAGATACTTGAGAAATGCCCTGGTTGCCATCCTGCTCGATGCTGCAAGTATAGAATTCAAATAGTTTTTATTTGGTAAATTGACAAACGAACTGACAATGAAGACAGCTTACTCGAGCAAATGAATTGAACAGTGGATTATTACTTCATGATGTATAGAAACATATGAGGCAAACAAATTGCGATAAAGATAAAGAGAGAAAAACGAAATACAAAAGAGGATTTACACGGGCAGACGGCTTCTTAGGGCTCAGCATAGAGCTCCAAATCCACAGGAAGCGTATTAGAACACCCAGCAAAAACAAAGGAAACGAAACCTCCAGTTGTTTCAATTGCAGTCCATGAAGGCTTCTTCAAAGAGAAGCTAAACTACAGAGGACAAGAGGCAAACCCTAAACCCACAAAACTGCTGCGCTAGAAAAGGGATTGAAGCAGGATCGCGAAAGAATAACATGAAATTCGACTCATCGGAATAGAATGCGAAGCACCGAATCAGGGAACCAACAAAACCCCAATTCGCATTCAGCTCAAAGAAAATGAAAACGAAGAAACGAACGCAAAAGGCATGCGATCCTTAGACACATTACGGTCTGATCTAATTTCCGAAGTGAAAACAAGGCAAAACTGGCAGTCGATAACTGAAACGATCACCGGAAAACCACAATTGAAAAACGGGAACGCCGTCGAGAATCGAAATGAGGTAACGCGGAAGGGAAATGTACAGAGATCCGGGCCTGGTTACCTTTTCTCGAAATGGCAAGAAGGAGAGCAGTGCTTTTGCTTGGGGAGGTTGCAGGTGTGGGTTGGGGTTTTAGAGTGTACAAAGCGAAGCAGCGGGTAGGGTTTATGGATTTTAGCGGGCTGGAGATCGCGCGTTGGTCCCTCTGTTTTTGCCAATGGGCAAGCTTAGCGTGGGAAAGAAGATACGACGACTCCAGCTGGATTGGAGGAGCAGGGAAATTTAAAAAACAAAACTTAAAAGGTCCAAAAGGTTTCTGTCTAGAGAAAGGGTAATTTCGGTACGTTTGGATGATACATTTCTAAAATAAAGATAATATAACTAAAATGATTCATTTTAGAAAATGAGATATTTGTACAAAATTATCTTATTTGGTTTGTTATTCGATATAACAATTGAAATATAGCATTTTCAGAAAATACACTTTTGCCCTTATTCTTTTACCCTCCATCTTCCTCTTTAACTCTTAACCAAAAAACCCATGATTTTTTTTTGGTAATAAGATTGGTGTATTAACGCCTAGCTCGTATTAATAATAAGACGTTCTTGGGTGATACCCATTACATCATGGCGGAGCCATTGACCAAGACCTTGGTCGCACACATCGAAAGGATGTGTGCAAAAATTACACTCATACCTTTTACCCGCCAAAAAATCAACAGCATGATTAGCTTCTCTAAACACATGTAAAACATTAACCTCCCAAAGCCCATGAATTTATACACCAACAAACATGAACATTGAACATCACAATCACAATTGACAACAATAATGGGAAAAATCATTACCAGAAATCAAATGACACAGAATAACTTTTGGTCGAATCACTATATTGAACAAGCCAAAATTCCAGTTAGAACATAAACAAACCACAATCAAGCATTCAAAGATTAAGAGGAAGAAAGCAAGAAGATTGATTCAACAATAAAATCAGAAACTCATTTAGAAATAGGCGATTTGTTAAAGCTAACTCTGGGTTTCATCTCCCATGAGTTGGAATCGAGCAATCGAACGAGGATTGGAACGATCCCCTAACCTATGGCTCTCATGACGTCTTTGTCGTTTTCACGCAGTAGAGTCGACAAAGGAACCAATCTATAGCCTAGTTCCTCGACTCAGCGCACTAGATCTAGAGTTGGGTCAACAAGTTCCTGGACTCGGCCAGAACAGTGCCGCTCTTGGAGCAGGAGTACATGTCGTGCGAGATATCATGGTAGCTTGAAGTGTGAAAAAAGATATTTCTCATCGAAGTCTAAATCATACAGTGATGACAAGGACTATAGAAGGGGAAGTCAGCTTCTTTTGAAAGGTTTAATAAGAGATGCAAAAGACCGCATCATTCCTCATAGTCAAGATGTCGATGATTTGGATGTCGAAGGGAACTACAATGACAAGAGGGATGGTAGTAAAGATTATACTGAAGCTCTGGTAGATGGCATAACCACGAAAGAAAGAAAGTGAAGAAAATGTTGAGTATGGTGATTAATATGAGAAGTCGATTAGTATGAGAGGAATATATGTAATATTGCATACATTTGAAGTAGGTAGATGTGTAAGGATGCTGAGAGAAACTGTTTAAGGAAATGTTTATATGAGAGTCAGACATCGAGTGAATAAGATAGTATAACCTGTGAGTGAAACATGTTAAATTTCACTTCATACAACGAGTAGGCAAAAGAGTTGTTGGTTCTTACTCAATTGAATGATTGGTCGATTTTTTTTTCTTTTTTGAGAAAATGATTTGTCGATTTAGAAGTACTCAATTAATATGTTATGAAATAAGTAAAAATTTCAGAGCTTACAAATAATATTATGAGTTGTAGTTCTATCTTATTGACATATGACATAGAAGGAGAGATATATAACATATAGGGGTCGTTTGGATTGAGAAATGCATAAAGGAGAGATTTGGATCCAATTTCCTAATTTAAAATTCTAGAGATTTCTAATCAGGTTTTTGTTTAATTATTCCGTTTGTTTGTTGATCAACATTTCATTTGTCAGCATTTTAATTTAATGATAGATAGGAAAGTACAATATTGCCCTTCCTCATCCTCACCTCTCCTCTCCTCTCCTCCTCCCCCAACGACCAAAGTCCATCGTCGACGTTGGTGAAGAAATCAAGCTCAATAATAAACCCAATCTCTCGTCGTCGGTTGCCTTCCTCCCGCTGCCGGAGACTAGCATCAGAACGCCCATCATGCATCAAGCCTGGCGCCACCCAGCTTCCGTCCACACATACCTAATTTTCTTCATACTCTGTTCCCCATCCCCAATCCATTCGCGGCCGCCGCCGGTGACCAATGAAAGCCGGTGGGAAATCAGCCACGCCAGACAACAAAGGGACTCAAACCCATGTCGAGCTGATGACGGCGAAACCGGAGACTCCCACTCCCAAATTCAGAGTTCCCTATGCCTCCACTTTTCCCGATTCTCTAGGGACGTCGAGGTCCGCGATTCCCTCCCCTGTTTCGATCCATTTATATGCTGTTAATTTGATCTCTGCCCTGTATTCACAGAGCTATAAAATCTCTGTAATTAGAAACCAAATACGCAATATGCAAGCTGAATCTTGAATGGAAGTGGCAGGGGATGCGATTGGTGAAGGAAGGCAAAGCTTTGTTCGAGGCAGACTATGGGCGGTCGTAGATCTAAATTCGGGTTGCAGATCTGAATTCTTCGTTGACCGGCGTAGGGAAGAGGAGAAAGGAGATGAGTCAGGAGCGGCGGTGGAGGAGGATGTGGTGGTGGTCGTCTCTCTCGCGTCGTCGATCTCTCTCGCATCTAACTCCGGCGAGATTGGCTCTGAACACGCTGGGACGCAGCAACGCAAGGACAAATCGTCGTCGTTCGTCTCTCTCGTAGCCACGCAAGGACAAGCTGGGAAGAAACCAAAAAATTGGGGCCGGATTTTAAAATACCTGGGTGCTGGCAGCTATTTCTAATTCCGGGCTAGGCCAAAATTTCAAAAACCCGAAGGCCCAAATCACGCCATTTATTTTGGCTATCCAAACAAGAGAATGGGTTAAATTCCTGGACGGGCCAGGATTTGGGCCGAATCCCTGCCCACAATTCTGAATCCAAACGACCCCATAAGGGGATTGGCCTAGAGAATACCGTAAAGAAACCATAAATAATGGAAACAATTGAGCATGTCTTGCCAGGAAGAAGGTTAGAAAAAGTGAAATTGAACTAAAACAAGTGTGATAAGCCTTTATGGAAACAAGTCATTTTTTCCATATGATTTGTCCAACGTTCTCATGAGCCAAATGGAGACTCATGAGTAGTGATGGCAATGGGGCGGGGCGGGGCCGGGCGGGTACCTCAATTCCCATGCCCCGCCCCACACTACTACGGGTCGGGGCGGGAAAAACCCGCGGGTACGGGGCGGGGCGGGTCGACCCACTCTTACATGTTGTTCAAAAAAATACAAGTAAATTTTAGTTTTTACAATAAAACGTAGGGAAAAACACTTTAAGAATGAAAAATATTGATAATAGAATGGATAATTGAGCCTAACAAGTTGAAAGATAGACTCTAACTAGTTGAAGAAAAGTCAAAATAGAAGAAATATGTATAGATATTGTAAGAAATTGAGATAAAATGAGTCTAGAACGGAGCGAGGCGGGGCAGGGCGGGTCGGAAGTAGATACCCATGCCCCGCCCCACGCTACTGCAGGTCGGGTAATACCCGCCCTATCGCGGGTCAGGTCGGATAATACCCTCGGAGCGGGTTGAAATTGCCATCACTACTCATGAGTCATGACGCATCTTAGGATGCAAATTTGCCGCTTCCTTACAGAAAAATGAAACATTAACATGAGGAAAAAAAGAGAACGACATTTAGACCGTGCGTACAATAATAATAGGGTGGTTATCATCCACCATGCATCATTCATCGACCATCAATGATGTTCTTAAATATGAGGGATGTTCTTAAATATGAGGGATATGATATTATATTAATAACCTAAAGTTTTCATAGTGTGCTAAAACAAGTAGTAGTTTTTAGATTACTTTAATTGTAGAGATTTATTTATCTCCTTCCTTTTAGATAACTAATCCAGTAATCCTCCATTTTTTTTCCCGGTAATTAATCCTCCAATATTTTTGAATGGATCATATATCACTTTCTCAGTTTGGAATTAAAAAAAAAAAAAATTCTTGCACAAAAGATCAACCAAAGTCTTTTACCCAAAAAAAAAATAAAATCAACCAAAGTCTGATAGGCAGTATAATATTTACTTTAACATATTTTTAGGGAAAACTCACGTCTTCAATATTGTTATATTATACATTTGGATTACTAATATACATTCAAGCAATTCTGGCGTGCATTTGGTACCTTACTCATATGAATTTGTGTACCTTTACCAAATATAAACCTTTTGGGTGCACCATGGTGAACCCGCCCGACCCGCAACCCGATTGACCCGCAACCCGACTAACCCGCAACCCGATTAACCTGAACTCGATTGACTCGCAATCCGACTGACCCGCAACCCGATTAACCCGAACCCGATTGACCCAAACCCGACTAACCCGTAACCCGACCGATTCAACCCGAATTTCCTCTAATCCACTTGAATAACTATAAAAATATAAAATACATAGTTTTTCAAAATAAAGTTTTTTCATTCTAAACTTAAGTAAAATTATTTTTTTCATTTCGTATAAGAAATTTTAAAAATATGAAACTCACTTGATATTACGTATTTTAAGAAAATTACAAAAATTAAAACATGAAGGTCACTTCAGATCATGACAATATTAATATAATATATAAATTAAAATTTTGGTTAATTTAACTATTCAATAAAATTATCAATTAAATATAAATAAAGTAAAGTAATGTATTTGGTAATTTGATGTTTTTAAAAGAAGAGGGAAATTTTGGTGTATTCATGTTTTTGGGAAGAGAAAGAAGAGGGAAATTTGGTTCTTTGAATTTTTTAGAAAAGAAACAAGTGGGAATTTTTGTGGTTTTGATATGTGGGAAGAGAAAGAAGTGGGAAAGTTTGATTCTTTTGATTATGAAAGAGAAATAAGGAGGGAAACTTTTGACTTTTCAACTTTTTGTAGAAGGAAAGAAGATGGTAATTTGGTTCTTTCAATTTTATGGAAGAGAAAGATGAGGGAAAATTGAGTTTTTCTAATGTATGGAAGGAGAAAGAAGGAGGAAAATTTTAGTATTTTTGTGAAAAGAAAGAAGGAAACAAATTTGGTGTTTTCAATTTTTTGGTTTTTCATAATTTTATCTTTTGAAATATGAATCTTTAACTTTTATATGGAGGGCATGACTAGTTAAAATTATTCTTATATGCTTTGAAGTCTAATATGTATATATGTATGTAATATTTTATGGCCTAATAAATAAATTAAACATTAGTTACAACAATTTATACTAAACTTGATAAGTAATCTTTGACGGTTCGTTGTTTAGGATATAAAGTATATGGTTAGGGTATAAGGTATAAGGTATAAGGTACATATGGTTTAGGGTGTATATGGTTAGGGTATAAGATATTAATGGTTTTGACGGTTCTAAGTTTTTTATTAACATATGTTCACTTGAAGTCATTTGAAGTCTTTAACGGCAGGAGATCCCTTTTTAATTTATGTTTATGGTATGTGGTTAGGGTACAAGGTATGTGGTGTAAAGTATAGGATATATGGTTAGGGTATAACAATTAGCAAATATCACTTTTTATCTATGTTTTGAAAATCAAAGTATGAATTTCACTTTTAAATTAACTATACTAGCAAAATCACAACTCAAGGACATATGGTTAGGGTATAGGTTATGTGGTTAGTGTATAATGTATTGATGGTTTAGGGTATACAATCAACAACATATACTAACTTAATATTGTTGATTGAGGGTAAAGCTAAGTGTATAGGATATATGCTATTGAGTAAGTTATGATTGAAGTCACAATAATTTTACTAAATTTGATAGCTAATCTTTAATGGTTCAATTTTTAGGATAATTCAAACAATTTTACAAATAACTCGTTTGGCAACAGTTTACTAAAGTTATTTGGGCAATGAGTTATTTTGAAATAACTCCTTTTATCACTATGCTTTTGCCAAATACCACACGCCAAATACCAGATTTGCATGGTTATACTAAACGAGATACTTTAATCCAATTACTACTGAATTAATACTAAAATATCAAATAAACAATTAACGGTGTTTTTTGGTTGCAAATATTGCTATCACCATTACTATTAGCTATAATACTTTACCAATTATGATTAATTACATAACAAGTTTGCAAGTCATACAAATTGATTTAACATTTTGACTAGTTTTTTTTCAAAAAAATGAAGTATATATATACGAGGTAGAAATAAATTGGTTAAGAAGTTGAGAAAATATTTTAAATTAGTGTAATAAAATGTGTAAGTTGGTAATGAGTAATGAGTTAAGTTACTTGATGCGCTGGCCCGAACAACCCGAAACCCGACTCGCCCGCAACCTGCCCGACCCATAACCCGATGTACCCGCAACCTGATTTGCCCGCAACCCGATTGAATCCGAACCCAATGAACCCGCAACCAGACTAACGCGCAACCCGTTTAAACCCAAACCTGATGAACCCGCAACCCGACTAACCCGCAACCCGTTTGAACCCGAACCCGATTGAACCCAGCCCGAACCCGCCCGATTGACACCTATGGGTGACATGCATGTCACCGTAACTTACACTTTTCGGTCGACCTAATCCTAACAGAGTCGACCGAATACAGTAATGTGGGCACCTTAATGACTTATCACGGTCGACCTTTATAATGTAGTGGTCGACCGTTTTTAGTTTAAGTTGTCATTGTCGGTCGACCACGATAAAATATTGGTCACCCTTTTCATTGGAGTCAGAAGCAAAATGGTCGACCTTAAATGTGTATCGGTCGACCACTTGATGACGGTCATTAACAAAATGGTCGACCATTTACAGAAAGAGGTCGACCAGATAGAAGAGAAGTGTTGTATTCATTTATCCATCACCATTATTTGACGTAAAATGAAGATCAAGAGTGTTGGTTTTGAGGTTGACCTAATCCCGGTACGAGGTCGACCGAATATAGGAAAATCAACCTATGACATGCGTCTTTTTTGCTTATGTATGTCAATGTGGGTGGTTCTTATGCTCGTACAAATTACGTTTTAAACCAACAGAATCAGTCCTAAATAATGATAGCAAGGACTCATAACTTCATAACATAACAACTAAACAAACTAACAAGAAATACAATGAAACACACATCATAATTATTCACACATAACTAAAATCTAAAACCACATAAAATGTCAACCTCGTCGTTGAACCTCACAAAACTGAAACAACAGATTAGATCGACCTAATCCTATATGAGATCGACTAACAAAATCCAAACCCTTTTGGGTGTTATAGTACCAATATTTTTCGTTGAATAATACCAATAAGCATACCATATCGAATAACATGATTTATATATAAAAAAATTGTTCTGCATTGATTTAATTACACGTCAAAGCACGGGGAAGAATTCACCCATGTGAAACAATTGATTTCCATGTACAACCCATAACAATAAAAGAAAATCTCGGAGAAAGTCAAATACAGAACCAATTTACAGAATCGCACCATTATTCGAAACAAAGAAGAGAAAAGAATCGTTCAATTACAAGAAAAAAACAGTTCAAACTCCGATTTCACATCTTCGTTTTTATCCCTCCAACAAATGAAATCAAAAGAAAACGCGGAATTCAATTTAACCGAATGTCGCCGTCTCAAAACAGAGCTCCCAAGAAGCAGAGCATTCCCAGCCCAACCGCCAGCCCAAACCCCCGGCCCAAATTCCTCCCGCCAGCCCCATTCGGCGCCGCCGTCGGCCCAGCCGGCTGCGAATCCACCGTGGAATCGGTGTCCCCACCGGACACCCCTCGCGGCCGTGCGCCGGGAGCCGCCCCTGGCGCCGGGGTCCCAAACAACTCCTCCGGCAGCAGAACCTTGTCCACCTGGTAAACCGCCAGCGGGAAAGTCTGGGCGAGCGGGTTGTTGATGGGCGTCTCGACGACTCCCGTGGAGACGTTGACCTGGTTCCCCTGGCCCGTGAAGTTGAGCCCGTAGGCCCCGCCGTCCTGGCCCGTGGCCTGGGTCCGGACCGGGTTGGGCACGAGGAGGAGGTTGCTGAGGGAGTAGAACTTGGGCGCCACGTGGTAGAGCACGAGCTGGACCTGCTGCTGGACGGAGAGGTCGTTGAGGGCACCGGACTTGAGGTTCTGGAAGGCGTTGTCGGTTGGGGCGAAGACGGTCATCCCTTCGCTGGAGCTGTTGAGCTGGATGGGGATCTGGTTACCGACCTGTGTGGTGTTGAGGAGGCGGAGGAAGGTGGTGAATTGGCCGTTCTTCTCGAGGATTGCGGTCAGGTTGACCGGGCCGGACGGTCCGGCCGGGGCGGGAGCGGATGGGGTGGTTTGGGCGTTGGTTTGGAGGAGGAGGAGGAGAAGGGAGGCGAGGAGGATGGTATTGGAGGTGGAAGCCATGGTTGGTTTAATTTGTTTGAGTGAGTGAGTTAGTTTGTGTGTTTGTTGGCAATGGTGGAGAGTGGGATTATAAATGGTGTGTGTGGAGGATTGGGAATGGGTGGTGTTGCCGAGCTGGAGGAGGGTTTTGGATTTGCTGGAATGAGCTGTCTACGAATTTGTGGATCGAAGAAGATGACAAATTGGGAGGGACAAACGAAATGAGACACAAATCATAATAGAAGGCAACCTTTTTTTTTTTTTTTTTTTGTTCTGATGGGGAATGAAAGGAATGAGTTTGATGGTTGGTAGTACCGTTAAAGTAAGGTAGAACGATCGATCAATAAGAGTTTCATCTAAAGGTGGTTATTATGGAAATTGTGCGGCAGAATCCACAAGCATGAATCATATGGTCAGTTTGGAGAAGCACATGAAATTAACCATTTCGGTTTAAAATAGGAGCATAAGCTAGATTTCAACTTTTTATCACCGTGGTATAGTATGGTAATCGGTAGTAGACAGTGATGAAATGTGATAAATGACAGTTAGTATATTCATACTATCATGTATAGAACTATTCTATATTATAGTATACCATCGTGGTATGAGCTGAAAATAAATGTCTCAATTTTTTTTATCCAAAATATATTAAAGTAGATGTTACTTTGAAGAGACAAATTTTTTTACTTATCTATTTGAAAGAAAAAATCACAACTTAATACAAAACAAATATAGCCCATTGAAATTAATTTGAAAAAAATAGTTATTTGTTTTTCGTTAATGATAAACTTAGAATTCTACATGATTATTAATCCATAGAGTATTGATACGATCCCCTCCCAATTATTTTCTTTTCACTAGAGAAGGGAGCAAAATCCACAATTTTAATAATGTTATTATTATTATTATTAAACAAAAATTGTCCAAAAATAACACTTAAATTGTGTCGCACTATCCGTTTACCAAAAGCTGTAATAAATATCAGAATTTAGTTTCTTGAACACAAGAGAAGTCAAAAGGTATAAACAAATCACTTTATCCAAACGAACCTCTAAAAACTTTTCTATCTGTAATTTTGCATCTTCAACGCGGAATGAAATGGTGACAGTGGTGATGAAGGAAGGACGAGAGGGGTTGGGTAACTTGGGTTGGACTTTATGAAATGTAATTAATTGAAATTGTGGGTTTTTGTCAAAGGTAATACAGTTGAGTTGGTCGGGAATGTGATCTTTTGAGCTTCAGATGTGAGATTTCAGATTCGAACCTCGTTACACCACTTGATATTCCCGGAAGCACCGCGAGTGCCGGAGACGAAGTCTACCCAATATCGGGTGCTAGGCAATAATGCACTAGTGGGAGAGGGAGAGTGTTTATCCTGTTGGGCGAGTAGTGAAGCAGCACTAATTCTGTCGGTGGCTGGTTTGGTTTGTATGCAAATGCAAAGCAGGATCGGTCGGTCACATGCAATGCATCACAAACAACCTCTCTCGAGTCTCAACTAATGCCATTGACTTCAATCATTTTCGGTGAGTTGGAAATATAGATCAAAGTATTTGCAACTTGCTTAGTTAGCTGTTAACTGATTGTGTCCAACTTGGCGTAACCACTCGTATTATTAGGGATTATAAATTAATCTGTGTACTGTATATCAATTGATTTCTTTCTTAGTTTCATCATTAATTTTAGTCTCGAAGTGGCAGTAAAGAAAAAAGGATTTGCCTCTTCTAATTCCCATCGTTGGCCAATAACTCAGCGCAATTTTGTTGTTGTTGTTGTACCCTTGTTAGGAGAGAAGCTATGTTTCTGCATTGCCAACTTGCATCCAAGTTGCATCTCACTTTCAGCTCAGGTTCAATGTCGTGGTTCATTGCCACACGATGTGACATTCTATGGATACAGTGGGCCAAAATATACATCTAATAGCCCATTCTTAGTTGATAATTAGGCCTACCATTTCATTAATCGAAGCACATGGGCCCAAATATCCACAAAATAGGCCCATCATTGAAAATGGAAGGGTCTTAGAATGAGTTAATTGCATGGTTGGTCATTGAGATTACAAAAACCTTCACGTTTGGTCACTGGAAATATTTAAATCCAATCTTGGTCACTCAAATTATTTAAATGGTTCAAGTTTGGTCACTCTCCGTCCATTTCCGTTAACTCTAGTTTACGTGGCAGCCAACTTTCATAGTTGACCGTTAAATATGTGACGTGGCAATTAAAAAATTATTAAAAATAAAAAAGTAATCTTTTACATTTTCCACCTCATTATTATATTAATTAAAAAAAATATTTTTTTTTTCTGTAACTTGCGCCCCAACGAGCCGCCCTACTCGCCCGATTGGAACCAGGTCTTTGCGATCCCCCACAATAGGCCTGACTCGGCGAGCACGACGCTGGAAATCTCACTTTGGGACGCTCCGACGGAGCAATTTCTCGGCGGTATTTGTTTCGACCTTTCCGATGTCCCCGTCCGCTATCCGCAAAATTCCGGCAGAGTCTCCCGTGACGTCCAGCTCTCCGTCTGGATCGGGACTCAAGCGGACAACGCGTTCCCGGAGGCGTGGAGCTCCGACGCGCCGTACGTCCCTCACACCCGTTCAAAGGTCTACCAATCCCCAAAACTGTGGTACTTGCGAGTCACAATCATCGAAGCTCAAGATCTGAACATTGCGCCCAATCTTCCTCGCTAACAGCGCCAGAGATCCGAATCAAAGGCCAATTAGGGTTCCAATCCGTCAGATCCCGGCGCGGCTCGATGAACAATCACAACGCGTCATTTCACTGGAGTGAAGACATCATTTTTGTCGTCGGCGAGCCGCTGGAGGACTCGCTCGTCTTGCTGGTGGAGGACCGGACGACTAAGGAGGTAACGCTGCTCGACTCTTGGTAGGGATTGCTGGAATTGGAATGGAAATGGTTGGAGAAGGGTTAATGGTGGGGGAACTGGGAAGAGAGGTCGGAAAAGAGTGGTGGGGGAAGACTGAAGAGTATGGAGGTTGGGGAAATAAATGTTACTTTTTTATGGTTAAAATAAATGTTATTTTATTTTGGGAATTTTTTCTTCTTCTTTCTATGGGACAAAATATTTGTTTTTTGTTTTTTAATTAATGTAATAATGAGGTGGAAAATGTAAAAGATTATTTTTTAATAATTTTTTAATTGTCATGTCATATATTTAACGGTCAACTATGAAAGTTGACTGCCACGTAAGCTAGAGTTAACGAAAATGAACGGAGAGTGACCAAACTTGAACCATTTAAATAATTTGAGTGTCCAAGATTAGATTTAAATATTTACAGTGACCAAACGTGAACGTTTTTTGTAATCTCAGTGACCAACCATGCAATTAACCCGTCTTAGAATGCAAGACCCATTCTATGAAAATGACTAGGTTAACGTATCATAACCATGGACGAAGGTCCAAAAGTAGTCAAATTAGTGTCGTACTCAGCGAGAGTTCTTGAACTCCACAAAGATTAAAGGGTTTAGATTTGAAAAATGAAAGTTTTGGTTAAAATCTAGATTTTATCACACCATAGATATATGATGGAATTCTCCTATTTGATTTTTGGTACAAACCATCATTTGCTTGTTGGATTTTTGTTGGGTTTGGCATTTGTGGTTGCATTAGGAATTTATCTGAGTACCCTTATTGAGCATTATTTATTTTACATTATAATTTTTGTTATAAAGCAATTTTCATCCAATAGCTTCGGCCAACTACCACAAACGGAACAAATGAACATCATTAATCAATAACTTACAACTTCATATTATATACACAATTAGACAATTCCCTAAGGTTTTCAATGTTGCAAAGTATGCTTTGGGATTAATCATGTAGTGCTTGCGTGCAATGAATAATAATGAAGATTGAATGCAAAATTAATATGCACTGCAAGTTGGTCATTAGTAAATGAAAGAGGATAAGTTGGTGATTAATGAAATAAATAGGGTTACAATTGTAAAAAAGTGATCATGGACTTTGTACCCAAACACAAATCCCACATCTTGTGGTGAAATTCTCAAGTTTGTGGGGTCCACGGATTTGGACCCTCAAAGTCCGTGGGCCCCACGGATTTATTCCGACTAAATCTATCAAGCAAACGACAGATTGTGTACAAAGTCCATGATGCTTAGTAATATTGACTTGGCAACATGATACTAACTTGGAAGAGACACATGAAGGTTAACATTCCAAAATTTTAGTATTTTAACTAAAAAAAGAGTTATAAAATTATTAATAATAAAGTAAAAATGGCTAATATTTTGATGCATTATGTAAAATATGACTAATCAATAGAATTTTAATAGGTTTGGATAATATAAAAAAATCTATAAAAAAAAATTGGATAAAAAGTAGACATTAGCTTAACACTATGTTTGGCAACAAGGGGGGTGCAAGTTCGAGGGGGGTACAAGTTGAGGGGTAAATTGTTGGGGGTGCAACTTGGTGGAGGGTGTAAGTGGAGGGGTAAATTGTTGTTTGGATGAAAAAGTAGGGGGGGTGCAAATAGAGTAAAAAGTAAGTAATTATATTATTATAAAATAGATTTATCAATTTATAAAATATTATCACAAACATGAAAATTCAATATATAATAATAAAAATAATAAATAAAAATAATTTTAATAAAAATAATTATTATATAATAATGCTCAAATATAATTATTTACAACAACAATAATAATCATTGGTCGAGCAACCTCGAAACTCGAAATCCAACTCGTAACTGGTCATCCTAAGGGGGTTCTCGTGCCTAACTTTAAATTGAATATGGTCAAACTTAGTCAAACACGTTCGAATCTGTAAGTTTTAACTACTTATTAAAGTAAATCGAGTTAACTAAACTGTTCCTCTCTATCTTTTCAACAAATGCTTCTTATCTCTAATTTTCAATGCAAATTCGGGTCAACTAAGAGATATCGATTTGACGAGGCGAACATTGACAAACTTGCTCTCTGAGTCAAACGGTCAACCCCAAACAACTTCTACACTAATATAGATATAAGAAAAATTAATAATATTAATTATTATGTAATTATAGTCTAATTAAAAATTCATAATTCCCCTCTTCCCCCTTCCCCCTCCCTTCCTTCCTTCCCTTGCACCCCAATTTGGGGGGTAAGCCGAAACAGTGAATTTACGCTCACGTTTTGCACCCCCCTACTGTTACAAAATAACCAAACGGGGGTAAACACCTTGGAACTTGTGTTTACCCCTCCAAACTTGCACCCCCTTCCATTTACACCCCTTCCCAAACATAGTGTAAGAAAAAAACTATGTTTTGAACTACCAAGTTCACTCACAAGACTAAACTAAACGAAGACCAAAACAGAAGTAAGCATCCAGAGTTCGATGCATGAGTTTCATATATAGATATTCATGAGCAGGTACTTAATTATACTTGCACATAGCACAAGACATGTTTGATGGTAAGAACCTCGTTCCTTTTCTTCAAAATCTCAAATAGGAAAGAGGATCAAGCTCTAACAACAGTAACCATTGCAATATATTTGTGTATTGCTGTTGATATGATTTGAATTAGATTATCTAGCTACGCCTAGAAGTCATGAGGGTCTCGTTGTCAAGTCACCAAATGGGATAGGGATCCACGATGTACGGGCTAAATGAAGTTTGAGTTTCTGTTATGAGCATGATTTGTAACCTTATTCTTTTATCAGATTGGATTAGGGTTAGACCACATATGGTTTGTAACCTTATTCTCATACTCCTCTGTAATTTGTATCTTCTTGGAGTATAGTGAAACTGGTTCTCTCCTGTACGTGTGGACTAGCTGACACACATAGTGTTATTGAATCAAGTAACTTCATGTGTCATGTTCGTTATTTGCTTTTGTTTTTCTTGGTTTGTTGATCCTCCAACTTTTCGATCCGTAAAAACATAGTCACAATTGTCATATCTTTATTATGTTTTTTTTTTGGGTACGAAAGTATTTCAAATCCAAGACTTAACCGTTTGAACCGAAAACGGGCGAGATCTTGTAGTTGGAGAAACCGACGGCCAAGAAGAGCCATTTCCATTCGAACAAAATAAAAACAGCCAATACAAACAATTCATTCCATTCCAAAGATTCCAATGCATGCATTCTCAACTTTTTTTCTTCTTTTTCTTCTGATGAGACCTTTCGCTTTATTAACTGCCTTCGATGGAACTTTAAACAAGAGACATCTAAAAACAACAACCACATCAAGAAAACAGTTGGAAACGATACAATGACTTCAAGCGGGAGAGGATTATTAGTTTTTCAACTTTCAAGGGAAGACTTCAATGACTGATCTTAGACCCATAACGGTTGAGATCTTGTAGTTGGAGAAACCGGCGGCCGAGAAGAGTCGTTTCCACTCTTTCTCAGTTCGTTCTTTGCCGTTGACCATGGCCATCATGAACAAGTCAAAGCAGAGCTGCACTTCACCGAAATTCCTCTCTCCGAGCCTCTTCTCGTCAACCACCATATCTATGATGATCAGCTTCCCCTTTGGCGATGCGATTGCTTCTTTACAAACTTTGAGTACCTTTATGCAATTCTCCTCGTCCCAATCATGCAGAATCCACTGCATGCATGCATCAACAACTCATTCATCCATCGAGTTTTTTTTTTTTTTTGTCATAGATAAGAGTATAATAATAAGATAGTTAAAGTACATAAGTGGACCAAATATCGAACTGTCGATAAAAGGACATTAGTAGTAGGACCCACCTTGAGTAAAACAGCGTCAGCTTGCGGTATGCTGAGGAACATGTCCCCGCCGACAAATTCCAGATTCCCTTCTCCCTGGAGATCCTTGACCACATGAGGACGATCCAAAACGGTGCACTTGATCTCGGGAAACGCTTTGGCGACGGCCGCCGCCATGGTCCCGGCGCCGCCGCCCACGTCCACCAGCGACGTCACGCCGTCGAACATGTCCTTGCACCTGGACACCAAGACCTCCCCGACCAGCTTGGAGTCGTTGGTCATGCAGTCGTAGAAGGTGGCCATCAGCTCGCCGGAAGGGTCTCGGGTCTCGAGGTATCCCCAGAACGACGCCGTCCCGTGCGCGATCTCCCACGGGGTGCGGCTGCCGTCCTCCCGGAGCCACGTGTCGAGAAACGACCACGGTTCCTGCATCAGCGGGTGGAAGAGTAAGAGCACGCTCGACGTGTGCCTCACCTCCGCGGCTTTGTCGTCGTCTTCCCCGCCGCCGGGGCTCAGCAGCAGTCGCGACGACGCGTTCAGCGAGTACCATTCCTCGTCGGCGGCGTCGGGGGATGGTTTGGGTTCGGGGTTGAAGAGGGCGGCGTTGTGGGTGAGGATGCGCATGATGCAGCGGAAGGGTTCGGTCTTGGAAGGTGGGATTTGGAGGGTGGAGAGGAGGGCGGTGAGTGGGACGGCGGCGCCGCCGTGCTTGTGGATGGCGTCGGGGATGCGGAGCTGGATGGCGCACTTCAAGCACATGGAGATCATTTGGTTGAAGGAGCAGCTCCATAGGCGAGCTTGAGCGCCCAGGATCACATCTTGGGAATCCTTTGTCTTCATTTCTTTAGGTGGTTAATTAAGTAATAAAATGTTTTGTAGGTACGTACTTGGTAGAGAGTGTTTGTTGAGTTTATATAGACAAGTTTAGGAAGGTGATCATATTTATTTCTCTTTTCTGCTAGTGATGATATTTACCTAGGGGAGGTGGAAAGTGGAAACTAGACTTGGGACCGGATCGGATCGGGTTGGGTTATTTCGGGACGATGGTTTCGGGTTATGGGTCATAGCGGATCATGTTATGTTGGGTGGGTTAATTTCAGATCAAATATTGATCTAATTTAAAAATAATTTAGGACATTTCGGGTTTTATTTTTTGTTGTGCAAAGGACATTTCGGGTTCTCATAATAAACAATATTCTTCATTTAAAGAAAAAACACAAATTTTCACATAGTTCAAATATTCTAAAATTCCCCTTGTTGATGAAAATAAATACAAATGGCACGAAGCGCCAAAGAAATATTACGAAAGTAATAATACATGCATGATATTTGATTATTTTTACACACCAAACTACCTTTCAAATCTTCATAATTTTTTTGAAAACATTTAACCAATTTATGAAAGAAAAATTTCATTCTATAAATGAATTGAACTTGGAGCATATCAACCCGACGATCCATACAACTCAACCCAAAGAATCCCTGATAACTTGAGTGCAGGATCATTCGAATTCCGGAGTAACTCACAAACCCAATTAAAATTTCTTAGACGGGTCTGACCGGCCGGTCAACTACTAGCAGGGATGAAATTTAACTAGGGGAGGTGGAAACACTTTCTGGGTGTTTGGTATTCGTAACCGCCATACATAACTACCAGTTACTCATCTACGGTGAGGAGCGAAACAAAATCTGCAAAATAACTTTTTTCACGTTGAATTCATTAATGTTTCCTCTGCTTTTTTTTTCAATCTAATTGTAGCGTACACACTCTTCCCCATATATCTGTTGGTCTAGTTAATGTTTGTAGATTTTCTTTTCTTCTTCACCGTAGATCTCCTGGTCTAAATTCTCCTGTTGCCCTGCATGACGGCACAAGTTTTTTGAACGACGACGCACTGACGTGAAACCAACGTTGCTCCGGCGACTTCCTTCTTCGCCGCTCGACGATCGTAATTACGGAGAGGAAACACTCAAAGGCTTGATTGGGGAGCCAGAAATTTAGGGCACTTCTCTTCTCTCTACCGCAACATATTACCTCTTATAATAAAATATATTTAATTTGTTTTGGTTAACCATTTGTAACCATTTTTTCGTGTATATAAATAATAGGGATGTACTAAATGACGCCCTAAGTTTTTAAAAAACGGTCGCCCTAATCAAGCAATTTGACATGAATGCCCCTGACAATTCCCAATCCCTCGCCCTAGCATTCACGCCGTCGCGCAAGGGGAATCCCCTGCGGCAAAATTGCTCCCTTCCTTTCTCAACGCTTCGGCCTTCCCTCTCCTTCCTCGCCGGCGACGGGGTGAGCAACAACAGCCATCCTCCATGGCCTTCTCTCTCCTTCCTGAACAGCGACGGCGCCTCCATCCTCAACGGCGACGGGGCGGAGCAGTTGGGAGAATCGAGGGAAAGGAAGGGAGCGATTTCCATTTGGAACAACGACGATGGTGATGAGGATGATGATGACAACGACGGGGAAAGAGCGGATCAGATCCGCACGCTCGCCGACCGACGGGGAGCAATTTTGCCGCCGCCGACGGGATTTACTTGGGAGAATCGAGGGAAAGGAAGGGAGCAATTTTGCCGCAGGGGATTTCCGTTTGGAACAACGACGATGGTGATGAGGATGATGATGACGACGACGGGAAAAGGGCGGATCAGATCCGCACGTTCGCCGACCGACGGGGAGCAATTTTGCCGACCGACGGGATTTAGGGCGATGTCTCGGCGGTGGCTGCCGTTGTTCTATTTCTGCTTGGGGGCGACATATTTTGGGAATTGGGGTTTTTGGGAATTGGGGGCGGATAGGGATAGAATTGTCCGTTTAGTTATTTAGGGCGTTAAATTTTGAAAACTTAGGTCTGTGAATAGGAACCCAGAAATATAATGGGTGCGCCTAGTGCATGTCATTGTAACTTGCACTTTTCGGTCGACCTCAGTTAGAATTAGGTCAACCTAATATGTTTTTACATGCTTACTTTGGAGCAAGGTTGTCAAACCGGTTTATACCGTTGTGCTGGTTTGGCAAGTGGAATGGTACGACCGGTGGTATAACCAGTTTGTGCCGGTTCATGCCGGTTAAAAAAAATGTGAAAATAATTAATATCTAATGTATTTAATCATATATAAAACATATTTGTGGACAATTTAGTTACAATCCAACAAATATCATCAACTTTTAGCTATTACATTCATAAAATGAATTCATTAAATTCATTAAAATGATGTCATTTTACTTAAAATGTGTAAGTCGATCATACCGGTCATACCGATGGTGTCATGCCGGTTTCATGACTGGCACAGGTTGAACCAGGTTGAACCAGGTGGCATGCCACCGACATGACAACCATGCTTTGGAGATTAATATCTTACAATTGGTTTGATGGAAATTGGAGATTAATAGCTTGCTTTGAAGCTGGAGTGTCCCTCTACATATTGAAGTGTTTGGGAGCTCGATAGGAAGTACCCTCTACATATTGAAGTGTTTGGGAGCTCGATAGGAAGTACAGAAGACCAATTTAGAACCTGATCAAAAGGCTATTGAAAATGGATAAGTCGGGGAACGTGTTTGTGAAGCCTACTTTGGAGCTCAATTCGAGAAGCATGGATGAGAGTTGAGTCTAGGAGCCTCTACAAAATGAAAGTAGGTATGTTTTTCTACAAAGGAAAGGCATTGGCTAAAATATTGGATATATGGAAGGCTTCAAACAAAAGGCTCGAAGTTGCTACGAAGTAAGCTGTCTTCTAGCACAAGCAAGTTGCCAGAAAAAAAACCTTTGTAGCAACTTCGAGCCTTTTGTTTGAAGCTTTCTAGATATCCAATATTTCATCCAATGTCTTGCCTTTGTAGAAAAACACACATACTTTCATTTGGTAGAGGCCCCTGGACTCGACATCCATGCTTCTCGAATTGAGTTCCACAATAGGCTTCACAAACACGTTCCCAGACTTAGCCATTTTCAGGCAGTTTCCCAGTTTTGGCATAGCCTTTTGATCAGGTTCAAAATTGGTCTTCTGGAATTCTTATCGAGCTCCCAAGCACTTTGATGTGTAGAGGGACACTCCAGCTTCAAAACAAGCTATTAATATCCAATTTCCATTGAGCCAATTGTAAGATATGAATCTCCAAAGTAGGCACCATGAAACTATTTTTACACTGAAACAACAGATTAGGTCGACCTAATACTAACTGAGGTTGACCTAATTCTAACTGAGATCGACCTAATCCTATCCGAGGCCGATCGAAAAGTGCAAGTTACGGTGATTTACAAGTCACCGTAGCAAAGTCCAAATATAATTTAGTTGGAAAATAATTCTCTACTAATACGTAACCATTTTAGTGTATTTATGCGACTAAAAATATTACCAAAAGGTTTGAACTCGAGTTCTCTCACTTTAGCCGCTAAGGTTCAGAATGCATGTAAAAGGATAGAGTATAGGCCAATTGTGTGCATTAATGTGGTATACAAAGTCATTTCCAAGGTATTAGCTAATAGATTGCAGTCAGTTCTCCCTAGCATCATAAGTAGAAATCAGTAAGCTTTTATAAAAGGGAGGAACATCACTGAGAACATCTTGATGGCACAGGAAATGGTCTCCAAATATAGACATATGAATCTTAGTTCTCGTTGTCCAGTCAAGGTGGATCTTATGAAGGCCTTTGACTCTGTAGAAAAACATAAAATACTTTCATTTGGTAGAGGCCCCTGAACTCGACTCTCATCCATGCTTCTCGAATTGGGCTCCAAAATAGGCTTCACAAACACGTTCCCAGACTTGGTCATTTTCAGGCAGTTTCCCAGTTTTGGCATAGCCTTTTGATCAGGTTCAAAATTGGTCTTCTGGACTTCCTATTGATCCCCCAAGCACTTCAATGTGTAGAGGGACACTCCAGCTTTAAAACAAGCTATTAATCTCCAATTTCCATTGACCCAATTGTAAGATATGAATCTCCAAACTAGGCACCATGAAACTGTTTTTAACTGAAACAACATATTAGGTCAACCTAATCCTAACTGAGATCGACCTAATCCTAACCGAGGTCGACCAAAAAGTGCAAGTTACAGTGACTTGCATGTCACCGTAGCGAAGTCCAAATATAATTTAGTTGGAAAAATAATTCTCTACTAATACGTAACCATTTTAGTGTATTTATGTGACTAAAATATTAGCTGTCCTAAAAATCACTAAAGATTATATCAATAAAATTCAGAAACATATTTAGTTACCAATTTTTGTGGTTATATATAGTTTAATTTGGTTGTAAAAATTGTTCTTGAGTTAGCGACCATTTTAGTGTGTTGATGTGAGCAAATGTATTAGTTACTTTAAAATGCACCGAGTGGTGAACAATAATTTTTACTTAAAAAATTCAAGACCGTATGGGAAGTCTCTGCCATCTTTGTGGGATCTTGGGTTTGGAAGCATATACTTAAGCTTGAAACCATTGCAAGTGAATTTATCACAGAGACATCAGATTCTTTAATGTGGGATGGTAGTTATATGCATCATTACTCAGTGACTAAGGTATGACGCAGTATTAGAGGGGCTCACCCCCAGGTTAGCTGGACAAATCTTGTTTGGGGAAAGTTTCTCATTCCCAAATATAGTGTCTTGACCTGGATGATAATGCAAAACAAGATTACTACGGCTGACAAGTTAATCAAATGAGGGTCCTTCATGGCTGGTGTGTGTTATGTGTGGGTGGATTGGACGGTAGAGATCATTTGTTTGGAGAGTGCCTCTTTTTTCATTTTATCTTGCAGGCTGTCTTCCCTGAGGCCCCTCCATTGGCTCTAGATGGCTGGAACTCCACGTTGAATTGGGCTATGGGACTTTGGAAGGGGGACTCAGATTGTACAAGAGTTTGCAGGCTGCTGTGGAGACTAGTGATTGCTCATGTGTGGAAGGAGCGTTGCTGCAGATAGTATGGAGATGGTGGCACCTGCTCACCTCTTCGACTTGTGTCCCAGATTAGATTTGAAATTCATTGTATAGGGTAAGTTAATCCGCAAGTCGTTCCAATTATAGAAAGTTTTTTTTCCCGTTTATAGAAGTTGATAGATTGAGAGATAGTAGTAAAAAGTATGTAAAAACGGGTATGTTTTGAGAGGATCCCACGTTTGGGAATCCTGGGGCTTAGCGATAATTTTTTTATTTTCATAAAAAAAAACACGTAAGGATCAAGAGATCAACAAACTCAAAGGAAAGAAAGCTAATCTTGAACAGAGAAGGATAACCTAGGCAAACTCCATAGCAGAGAGTTAATGGCTAGGTGAGGTTTGTCCATGAAAGAAGATTCAATGCGCTGCTCTGGATGGGGGACATCCTGTTCACCCAGATTTGATGAAGGAGGCGTCTGGGGTGAGTCATGTTCGCTTGCCGCCAGTAGCTCATCGGCCGTTCACGAGCAGCACAAGGCGGAAACGGGGAATCCGACTAGGGTTCAGTGGACCATTAGAACCCGGGATATTGGGGTGATTTCATCCTCGGATTTTGTGGCCTGTAAATTGGGAATCTTTTTTTCCCCCTAAAAATCAACTACAAAAGCCCTCTCCTACCCAAACTCTAAAATCTTCCTACTGAGTTGGACAGAGAACTACCAAAGTGCTACACTGCAACAACGCAAAAGCACCAAAACTAGCAACTTTTTTCTCCAAAGATCAGCAACATCATTCTTCAACTTTCTTCTCAAAACCTCAACAACAATATTCTTCAAAAAAAAAAAATATAGCAGCAGACAAAACAATAGTAGTGATCCATGGCTTCTACAAGTAATCCACATCAAACCCTGCAAAGACCATATGATGCATGAGTTTTAGCAGTTACGTAACTGTCAGTAACACTAAATTCTGTAAATGACTAAAGTTAGTATAAGAAAATGAAGGAAGTGTGATAGAAGAAACATTCAAGAATTACATATTCAGTTGGTCACCCTACGAGTTTCACTCAATGAAGAGAAGTAACCTTCTAGATTTCCTACGCCGTCATCATTTCCCCCTTTACTTGAATAAAAACAGCAATCATCACACTACAAGAAAATATGTTTTCTGCAACCATCAATTATGGTCGGCCAAACTGAAAAAATGGTTGCTGAAACCTTTCAGCGACCATAAATGAGGGTTGCCAACATGGTCGGCAATAGTGCGTTGGCATAAGTCCAAGGTGACCCTTTTTTTATATAGTCGCCAAAAATCTACTTTAGGCGACTATAAATTATGGTTGGTGAAAATCCAATTCAGCGACTATCTCATTATGGTTGGAAATGTTCGTTTTCAGCGACTATCCAAAAATGGTTGGTGAAAGGCTAGAATTTCAGCCACCATATCTATGGTCGCTACAAGGTAGCATTTCAAGCAACAAACTCATTTATAGTTGTCAAATGGGAGATTTGAGCTACCATTTGAGAGGGTCGCCCAAAAGTAAGAACTAGGTTGATATTTAAGCAACCCTTCATTATGGTAGCCAAAAGGAATATTTATGGGACTAATATATTTGTAGCTCGTCACTTCTTAATGTGTACATTTAATACCAATATTGTAATAAGCTTCTTTCCAACAAAAGATATTATAATTGATATTAATAAAAGAGTAATTCACATAACAAGGAAAAGTGGATAGAAGTGGTATTTCATACATATTTACATCCAAAATGAGACTGTTATTGTCCCTTTGAGGAGAACATTAGATAAAATGGGATTGTCAATCTCAATCCTTTAGAGTTTATCCTATTCTCTACAACTAATCTCCAAAATCCAACATCAATAAAGTTTATTCTATTATCTTCGACTAATCTTCTTGCCAAATCAAACATCAGTAGTCCATTCTAGCCATTGCAACTAATCTCCTTCTCAAAAGCCTGCATACACGCCTGCTGTAAGTTAGCAACAAAAAAACATGGGAAAACCAACACAAACTAACTAATATCAAAACCACAAGAAACCTGCTGCATACACGAGCAAAATACTTGGAAAAGCCATCACAGCCTACTGGAAACCCGACATGAAACTTGCTACATTTAGAAGCAAAACCAGCAACAAATATACTACAAAATATGGAGAATCATATAGGGAAAGACAGTCAGAGACCTGAACACAATCAAAATCCTAACCTAAACTTAAGACCCGAAGAGATTAAACAAAGACAGTCAGAGAGATTAAAGAAAGACAAAGTATGGGATAAGAAATAATGGGCAAATCAAGATAGATATAATCGTCAC